AAAAATAAGGTTTTTCAGTTTTTCAACCGCGAAAGAAAGCCCGTTGACATCGGTTGACACTTAATTAAATGCTGTTTTTCAGGGAGACTTGGGGTGAGTGGAATCAAGCCCCCCTTGGACTGCCACGCCCGAAAAAGAAAAAAAAAACCTATTGGTTCTTACTATACCGCTGATTTCTATTTCGAAGTCACCCAAAGAGGCATACCTCAGTGAACATTATTCATTTAGAGAATAGATTTTTTTCGTTAAAAAAGGTTCATTCATACCAATGGATAAACAGCAATTATTGGATGAGGCAGAGTTATGCGGGTCACCGGGAGAGTGTTATTTGCTAAACCCAAAAGTCAAATATACACCTGAGCCACCAGATATATCAATTGAGCTTACAATAGTTAGCAAATACCATCACGGTGGCCGTTTACAAAAAGCAATCCCTTAGCCTCAGCCATCAGTTCCACTTGCAGACCGTTTATTGTGCTTTCCAAGATTCCGATTACGGGAGTATTTATCTAGAAAGTCCTTGCTGCTCAGTCTCCCAGTCCCGAAAACAAATTTAACCATTGCTTTTTCTTCCCTCTACTTCCCTTCTTTTCTCAGGGACGTAGCCAGTCCATAGCCCTGTAGGCCCGGGCCTTCAAATTTTTGGTTTGATCACTCTACCGCTTGTAATAAATTATGCGTTGTTGGAGTTAGTTGAAAAAACACAAGAGCTTAAGTAATGATCCGGGTAAGGTGGATAGCAATTTCTTTTGTTATGCGGCAAAGGTGCTTTCCCCACATAGGAATGTTCTTATTTTTACACAGAGAATGCATAAACCTACACGAAGGCCGTTTACCCAGTAAAATGCATTTACACTCCACTTTGAAAGGGTGTTTTTTGGTGTTAAAAGATTTTGACCAATCACAAGAGTTGAAAACAATAGCCAAGAAAAGTTTACAATTTTACAAGTTCCCCACATAGGATTTCTTTGTTATTCAAACTGAGACCAGATTTTGTTATATGGAAGATAGTTGGAAAGTAAGGATGAATATATGCACTGCTTTATGAAGTTTTGTTAACTTTTGCTGTTTAAGCCAGTCAGAAGTAAGTACAGACAATAGAAAAGTTAGCACCTTTTTTGCATTCCAACATGCATGTTCGTTGCCGTTGTTGCTATCGTTCTTATCTGGACCGTCTCTTAAAGTGTTGGTGAGGTCAGTGCGTACTGGTCATGCGTACAATTTTCAGGATATGGGAAAGTGAAAGTCAGCCAGGCCTACAACTAGCCAAAAAGCTGGCTACGTCCCTGAATGTCAGGCTTGTACGACTCAAACTAAATAACTGATAGCTTAGCCTTATTCAGGTCATATGGCTATATTCATTAGACGCCTTTTCGAAAATACGAACGGACCTGGTTTGTCATTAGGTACCTTCACAACGACTCCATGTGATTTTTAGGCTTCTCGGGCTATAAAAAAACTCGTTTTTGACCTTTTTTAAAATCAAACGGCTCAATTTTATGTGTGCTATGTTTCACGAAAAATTCAGCAAGATAGTAGTTAGCCCTATAATGGTCTGTTATAAATAACGCAGCAATTTGAATGCTTGAAAAATCTGCCGTCTCATGACCGGACAGCATAATACTTGCAGACACATAAAAACTAGTAGTAAAGTATTTTAAATACGGGGAAGAGGCAGATTTTTGTGATTTGCAAACGACGACTAAATTGCTAAAGACATTCTTCAGTCGAAAAAGTTCTTACCATCCCTTTAGCAATCTGCCACGCATAACATAGAACTTCTTTCCCAGAAATGTCTTCTTCATCATCTTCCTTGCCCTCACAGCTACCTTCTTCTTTCTCGACGTTGATCTTTTCGTCGACGTTTCTTAAAGGCTCAGCGAGAGTGAGCTCTTTTTCTTTGGAGAAATGGGCAATACTGATCGAAGGTAACACCATCACCGACGTAACCGGTCCCTGTCGCTCTTCAGTTTGTAGAAATGACGTGTTGACATCGCCACTCTGTTCTTCCTCCTTGTCATCTTCGTCTTCCAGGCTTGAGAGGAGAGGTTCCATCTCAGATCGAGGAGCATTGTTGATTATAATTCCTCTTTCAACGTCGTCCAGGTCGATTTTAATTTCCTCCGTCCCGCTGGAATGATAACCACCGTCCTTTCCACTTTCTTCATTATTTCTTCCCCTGTTCTCTTCTTTCAGGTTTTCATCCAAAACATCTTTTGTTTGCAGGTTCCTGGACACCAATTTCGGCCTCTCAGGATCAGGAGGCTTAAGCCTTTCAACGGCATCACTTTGCCAACTCTTTTTCATTATAAGCTGCAAAAATATTGAGAAATGAATTCTGTCTGATCATTGGTTAGCCGAAATATTTTTACCCATTTATAGGAAATCCATGTGAATTGAAGGATTACTTAACCGACGTTAAACTGAAAATCTAGCCGGGAATACCGTATGGACCAACTTTCTTTAAATCCTCCACGGAAGATTCAAATGGATTAAACTGTAGTACAAACAAAGCTTTTCTTCTGCTTTGTTACAATTTTCCATGACATTTTAAGATACACAGTCCCAAAAACGCGACGTGTGCTTCTTGATATTTGGTTTGACCTTATGTCACTTGTGACGTCATATCTCGTACAGGGCTTTCGGGACGTGTAATGTGTGTGTAATTATCGTATTATCCACTCCCCTCAGAGCTTTTCAGGGATAATTTACAACACTGTTTGGGGGACTTTGCCAGACTGCTTAAGGTGCAGTTTACAAGTAATGAAGGAATGTGTAATGATGCCCCCATACATGAGTGTGAAAGTGAGATAAACCACTACACCGGGCACTACGTGCCCTACTCTTTACCAAGAGTGTGTGGGTTCTCTAACGTCCCACAGATTTATTACATGTGCAAGGGCTTTTGAGACGGGGCCTACGGTTTATCGTCCTTATCCGAGAAGACTAGTAAGTCAAACCGTTTGCAGTTGTTATCCAAAGGCAGCACTTTATCCGCAGTTATTTAAAGACCCTGAGTGTTGCTCTGGACGGGGTTTGAACCTACGGCCTCCCGCTCAGCAGACCGGCACTTATCCCATTGAGCTAACCGGGCGGCGGTTTTGAAACTCTGGACGGACAATCATTATCTCCAAAAAATATTTTGAAGGGTTTGTTAAGAAGAAACGTTTCTACTACGTCGGTCGGAGGGTGAAAAGCAAAACTCTGGTGTTATCGGTTGATTTGAATAACTCATCCTGCCACCATTGAAAGACCGTGGATCGAAAAGCTGACGGGCATTTTGAGTGGAAGCCCTTTGTCAGCTCGAATCAAGGACGGTTTATCAAATGGTGGACCTCAACTATTGGTGAATACATGGGAAAATGAGAAAAGAAATAAGTAAATTACTAGAATGAAAAGCGTTCGTTGAAGTAAACTATTCTTGTCTTGTTACCATGTTCAAACAATAGCGTAGCTCCACCATTAGTAATCCCGTGATTCATTCTGACCAGAAAAGGTTAACGCCTGGGGGGGGGAACTCTAAAAAATTTCGAAAAGTTGAGACAAGCGAAAACCAATATGATATCCTAATGAAGACCCAAAAAAGGAAAATGAGGCCCAGTTCGAGGGAAAAACAAAACCTAAGAGTTAATAGAAAAAGATCGCGCTCCTCTAGGGTAAAGTTCAGTCTTAACAGATCTATGATTTGTTTCTCGTGTGTTGGGCATTAACGCACGTGAATTTTACCTGATAGAATAACGGTACCCTATCTAAGGATCACATAGGCAACACTACGCCAATAAGGGCAACAAAGATACCATATTTAAGGATGGAGATCCTCATCCTATCGGGCGGGAGTACGCCCTGGGGGAAACGCTCAAAACGTCAAGGTTTTTTTTTTTTTTAATTTTCTGACCAACTACCCCTTCCCTAAGACAAAATCAACACTACCTTCTCACTTAGGGCAAAATATGGCTTAGGGGAGGGATAGGTAGGCAGTTTCCCGGAACCTTAACTGATCCTAACGGGGCAAGCTTGACTTTATTAAGTCAACAGGAGGGCATTTTGTATGCGCATGCGTCAACATGGGCTGTTTGAAGTGCCACAGAGGCATTTTCTGTGAATTGTTTACGTTCAATACCAGCATTTGCAGGCTGTTTTCTGGAGCTGAATGACGTGTATTGGGTGCTACGTTCCACAAACATGTTCTTTAAGGTATCGAGGTATTTCTACGATGAAAGTGAGTTTATTGTAGCCTCGCTGTCGACCTTGAGAGGACAGTCTTTCCTTTCGTAAAACAGTATATCGAAGACAAGATGGCGGCTGAATGTTCTTATACCACCTAACATTTCGCGCACGTTTTTTGAGCAGGAGAAAAAGGTCAGTATGATAGTTTTTCGTTAAACAATTATCCTATAGATACTTAATTCTTCTCAACAGTATAACTCTAAAATCGAAAATAATCGTTTCAGGAATACAGTGGTTAATTAAGTGTCCATTCTCCATGCCGTGAAACTGTTTTTCACCCTTTCTCTGGCTTGTTTATCTCGGAATCTTGCCTTTCTCCCCAGATTAAGTTAATGATTAATGAAACTAAAAATACTTCCGCGAATGAATGGCGCTTTGATGAAGGCTGTGAAAAATCGCCTTCTGCATTAATTTTAGCTTTCTTCTCCGGTACGTCTTCGTTGAGAAATAAAATACACGCATTTCAACTATACATTTAAATCAATATAATGATGCCAGTAAGACTGTGTTTTGAAAATAAGAATATTCTATCATTTAGTTATACGGCAATCGGTTTGAATTCTGATATTTTCCACCTTATTTTGATGGTACACTGTTTGTTTACATTTCATTATGCAAATAAATATAACATTTTGGCATTTTAAAGAAAATCTAGCCTGACTCCCCAACCCCAAAATAGCACGAAATGAAACGTTATCAATACACCTTTAAATAAATCCCGGCTTCTGTTGCAAAAAAATCGCATTTATTCCTATATGATACCATTTTGTGGATACTACATTTGTTGATATGCTAATTTGTGAGACATTTCATTCACGAAGGATGTTGACTGAGACCAGCTTCTCCTCTGTATTGAACCAAATTCTTGTTTAATGCGTCAGTTTCTGCTATATAATTCTTCCATGATGTACAACTTACATAAGGGGTTCATCTGGATACAGTAAAAAGCTCTTAACAGAAACATTAATAACAGACAAATTCACCCATCCATTTGTGTCATGTTTGTTATCGCATCCCAGCTCATTTGGGTCCTTTAGCAGAAGTATATGTTTTTTGAGGAAACAGCATTATATGCACCCCTTTAACAAACTTCCTGTCTTATGTTTAAACAGGCTTTGAAGGTGAACAACATCGTCAGTTAGATTTATGGAGTGATGGCCATTCTCTGTTTTGAATGGATCACTAGTGTCATCAAATATAAATTAATAACAAGAAATCGATTGTGGAACACAGGAGCTGTTACTCAAGAGTCGCTTCAAAATAGTAGCTTAGGAAAATCTCTGTATCTTTTAGAGTTAAAGAAAAATAAAAGTACTGTTCGTTTTTTCGGAGAATTTTCATTCGTTTTGTCTGCAACTCAGCTTATGAAATGCTCAAATGATTATGTACTACATAATCACTTGTAATTGTTGCTGTCTCAAACTCAATCCATTCTTCATTTCCTATAGAATATTTTGTATAAATTTTTCCGCGAAAACTTTCGAAAAACTGTAAAAACCCCATAGATTTCATGTTTTTGTGGCATATATAAACGCGTGTCTCCGTGATCAGTTTAACATGAGACATCGCGCTAATAAATAAACCTCGCGTGGTAAATTTTTTTTTCGCTTTTTGTCTTAAAGCAGCTGAACATTACTACGATGCATTTCCTCCCTGATAAGTAAAACCACGAGTTTAGAAATCAAACTATAGAAATGCATTGCTCTGCCAGTGAAAATCAGACTTATACAAGAACATGACTTTTTGGCGTTGAGTCTTGAAAGTCTTTAAAAGGGCAAGAAAACATACTGCTGAAAAATCTACAAGTAAATACCCGCGTAGAAAACGTCCGATTTTTGTCATGGAGAATATTTTTTGTAGGAAAGTACGGTATTCAAAGCACCAACGAAATGGCTTTTAAAAGGACTGTAACTTTACGCGCGAGTTTTCGATTTCCCGCCATCAGATTTGATGCGCCCACGCTATCGTCGTTCAGCGGATTCACGCATGCGCATGCAAAATGCCCTCCTGTTTATTAACTCAGTGTTGAACACAAATTTTTGTGTATTTACCGATCTTTGTTTTCCAAATACATGAATAGCACCTAAACAGTCTGGCTGTATAAACCGCGTTTGGAAAAATACGAATATCCGGTTGCATTGATATTTACATTTTTAAGCACACCTCTGTCTTTCAGAACTTAAATTATAGGTAACATGTACAAATTCTCACATCAAGTTGTTTAGCATCTTATTATTTTTACTGAAGGAGATGGTTTTTAGACGTGTGATGAGTTAGAGGATTTTCCTTCTGCCTTAAGAGACCACACAATGTAAGAAAAAGAACATACACGCCCAGGACGATGTTCATTAGAAAATTAAAGTGCAGCACAGAATACTAATGACGTCAGAGTGACTAATTTGCCATGTTTGTCTGAAATTTGCCGTTTTTGTTATTTTCATGACAAAAGTCAGAGAAACTTGACATTTCAATGACAAAAAGACAAACAAATTGAGCAATTTGTTTGTCTGAGTTTGAGGTCTATAAATAATACTTGTACGCAGCCCTATTGCGAATGGAGAGAAGATATTTTTTTAAACAAAAGTAAAGTAATGATACCTGTCGCCTTTTGTTTCTGAGCCACTGAAGAAGATCTCCGTTTGGAACATATTCCATGATTAACATAATGGGAGGTGATTGGATCCAGTACCCGAGCATGCTCACAATATTACGGTGTGTCCCGACTTCCTTCATCAGCTCAATTTCCCGAACTAACTGCCGTTTTTCCTCCTCCGTGGCATTTTCTAAAAAACAAAAGACATTTAAAGAAAATCCAGGTAACCGTGACCGACGTATAGGCTACACAATATCAGTTAGTACTAAACAAACTAAAACCAGATGTACAGAAAAAAAGAACTAATTAAAATAAAAGTATATTTAACCTACGAAAATAAAACACAGTCAATAGCTCAGGTCCTAATTTCTGCTTGAGAAAAAAATAATCTATTTGTTAAAAAAATGGTTCCCTAAGTTAAGTGACGTAGATAAAACAAAGTCTCAAAGAAAAACCGTTAGTTCTCTTCATCTAGCGATCACCAAGCACGACTTGTAACATGATGTAATACCGGATGATCTTTTAGTCCGGAAACTTGTCTTTTTAATTCTCGATGCCACGTTTTGTGTTCTTTAATTGCTTCCCTATTCTCGACCCACAGGCACTTCATCCCCAGTCATATGACTTTCCTTGAGGACATGGAGGTTTACGGTATCGCGGTTTTGAGCTTTTTTTCAAGCGGTATTTCGGTAATTTTGATTTTAAAAAAAAAAAAAAAAAAAAAAACGAAGGGTGCCAACTTTCCTCACTTGCAGCCAAATGGCTGAATTGTGGAGGAACCAGAGAGGTGAGATCGGACGTCAGCATGTAAAGGCGCGCTCTTGCAGCCACTTCAGTCCATGTTTTGATCACACCTTGCCCACCCAGACCGATGACGGCACAGGTCAGATAGACCATGACATCGGGGCCTACGTCCCCTACTCTTTTCGAACAATGTCACGGGTTCTCTTACGTCCCCCTCCAACTGAAGTACAAGGATGAAGGAGACAAGGCCAACGGCTTAACGTCACCGCTTAATGACGCGATCATCTGAACTGAGAAAGGGGTTTTCACAGCTAGCATGATCTCACCAGTTATTTAAAGACCTTAGTTGATGGTCCGGCCGGGGTTTGAACTCACGACCTCCCGCTCGGCAGACCGGCGCTCTCCCAACTGAGCTAACCGGGCGTCCGGTATTGCGGTATCATCCAGCCTTGGGGTATATGGTTTTTTATCCTTCTGGCTAACGGTACTCGGTAAAAGAAGAGCCTTCTTGGTATTGCTGTACCGTTCATTTGCCCTCTCCTGGCTAATGTAGGTCAATATTTAGAAGACTTTAGACTTAACGGTAAATGAATACATAATTTCTGACGGTTACTCTATGATGAAATTAGTAGGACATCCAATAACCCGGCTTTTCGATCGTTATACCGATTAATTCCCGATCTCACGTTTTCTCGCGAAGACTGAGGTTGATTTCTGGTGTATACATGCTTGAGATAAAAAACACGCGAGATGGATACAACGTTAAGTAAGCGTGACCGATCATAAATGCAGTATCGGTATTTCGTCGATTTTCGACACGGTATTTCGATATTTGCAAATTTTTCTTACGGTATTACGGTATTGGGTACCCCCCAATGTCCCCCTCCTTGAGTGTACATTTGTAATCTTAGCGTATCTATCCAACTGGCTCACTTTCATTGACTCTGCATGGGTTTCATTAAGTGTTTTCGGCTCAACGTCATGGTCATCATTGTCATCATCCTCATTATCATCATCAAGCTCTAAGGCGCTTTACAATAAATGTCTTCAACTTAAACGACTAGAAAGCAGTAACTCGTGACATTACAAAAAAGAAAAATTGTTAAACGAAACTAACAAATAAAAATAACGCTTAGAAGTTATTTAAGTAATGGTCCAGATAAGAAGGAAAGGACCAAAACGCAGTGAACACGTCGGAATGCAGAAGGGTGCTAACTTTACTTTTGTCTCTACTATGGTTCTGATTGGTTTAAACATCAAGTTTTACGAAATCTTCGCAAAGCAGCATGTATATTAATCCCTTTTTTTCTATCCAACTTCCTTATAACAAAATCTCGTCTGAGTCTAAGTAACACAGAAATCGTATGTGCGGATCATGTAAAATTGTGAACATTTCTTGGCCATTGTTTGCAACTCTTGTGATTGGTCGAAATGTTTTAACACAAAAGTACACCCTTTAAAAGTGGAGTTTAAATACATTTTCTTTCGTAAACAGCCTTTTTGTAGATTTATGCATTCTCTGGGTAAAAATGAAAACATTTCTATGTGAGGAAAGCGTGTTGCGCCACAACAAAAGAAATTGCTTCCCTTCTTACCTGGATCATTACTTAAAGCTTTAACGAACATTCAAACTCCATTTTACACTGTAAGTGCTCTGGAGAATCATTCTAAAAGTTTAGGGCCACAAAACGAAAAAGCATGATCGTGCGATAAAATTTTAACCTTGATCTGGGTGTCACTAACAAGTTCATGGTTGATGATCGTAGACTCCTAACAGGCTTGTAAGTTTGAAACAAATGACGATTATGGGTCGGACTTGAATAATTTAAAATCCACCACTCATGCTCCAGGGGAAGCCAATGTAATTCTCTAGGTAAAGCAGTAATGTGGTCATATTTACAACCACACACGATCAGAGAAAGTCCTCAACTGACTAAAACCTGTGAATAAAGTATTCCGAACGACCAATCTACACATTATGAAGGCATACACTAACATTTTGGTTTAATAATTTGATATCGTGTCACAGCCCTGAGAAGTAATTATGCGGACTGCACTGTTTTGCAATTTTTGACTACAATAGCCGTATATTCAGGTTAACCCATTCAGCGTCAAAGTAGCGAACGATAGGTTAGATTAAAGCGCTATATACTTTTCAATACATTTAATGACACATAATCTTGAGACCAATCATCAATGTGCTGATCCCACTGAAGGTTTTTATGTCTATTTAACAATTATTCCACGAGGGCGCGTTGGATATGAGAGGATAGATAGTCAACGAGGCGCGTAGCGCCGAGTTGGCTATAATCATCTCATATCCAACAAGCGCGAGTGGAATAATTGTTTTATTAAAAACGTCCACAAAATCTCTTTGAATCTCTCCGACTAGAACAAACCGGAAAAGACAAGGGACTTCCGCTATTCACATGTCACACGTCTATCAAAACTGTCAACGCGCGAACGGACTCGCCTGGACTGCATGAATGAAAAATCAAAACATTGTAGCGATGAACACTAGTTTTTTTAAAAACTCATCGGGATTCTAGGATTTTACACAGCAGAACAGCTACAAAAAACCTGGCAGATAATATGAAGGAAAAGAATTTTTAAGTGACAGCCGTCGAAATTACTGTGAATTTGGATTTTCGGTGCAGTTATAAAAGTAAGAACAACGGAGAAAAACTATTACCTCGGTCGCTAAGTTGTTATGAAGTTGTTTGAAGCCACAAGCTGGTTTTGCTGAACGAGAAAAGAAGCTATACTGCCGCCTAGATTGCTCTAGTGAATGGCTGCATAGCCTGTATTTGTAGCTGGTTACTTGTGATTAATATTCCTGATGTCGGATAAACAAGCCGCAGTTTTCTATCTGCGAGTGACTCGATCGGCGAATGGCTTCGCGATCATGAAGAAACAACACTTGTCTTCTTTCGTAGCTGGTCAAGGTACTTTAGTTCCATGTGTTTTCATGTGTTTTTCGACAAACTTTCAAACAAGCTCTTATGGCTTTTTTGTTTGTTTTTGTCTTTTTTGTTTCGATGAAATTACATTTCTAGTATTCTAAGAAATGAATTAAAACGATTTGCTTCGGGCGCCGTTCTATCCTTCGCGAAAAAAAATCTCAGCTAGCTTCCAATTTCAAACTGACGCGTACACCGACCATATATGGAGAGCATGGTATAATAGCTCATATACCATAACGGCTAAGCCAATCAGAATGCTAGAATTGCATTATCCAATGATTCATTTTTTAATAATAGCTCATATACCATAACGGCTAAGCCAATCAAAATGCTAGAATTGCATTATCCAATGATTCAGTTTTTAATAAATTGACTATTTTCGAATCCCCCATAATACACTCTGTCTGCCCCCCAAATTTTGCATAACTTAGTGTCTTAAAATGCTCTTCGGAAAATGCAATACTCCCAGGAGCATTTAAAAACAATGGTTTATGCAAAATTTGGGGGGCAAACAGAGTGTATTATGGGGAATTCGAAAATAGAGAATTGATATATTCATTACAAAACGTCTATCCGACAGTCGATTTAGCGGAGGCCCGCGGCGACACTTAAGTATTATAAGCGTGCATTTTTGGTTTCATTTGGTAAATTGCAAAACTCAGGGAGGTCATTATATACATAGCAAAAAAAAGGACCTAAAATGGACTCCTGAGGTACATCACCCTGTTACTGATTGGAGTATTGAGATGCTGTTTTCCACAATATAATATTTGCTGCCTATCGGATTAAATAATTCAAATCTGTTAAGAGTAACTCCCGTAAATCAGTTTACCATTGAGACGTCTGTTGAAACAGTAAGTCATCTTTTTTGCCATATTCACGCACCTGGTAGAACTTTTGTAGCAACAATACGTCCTCCTTCATGCGAATCCAAACAGTGATACTTGGGTTTGGAGGATGTCATCATTTTAGGTAGCCTCCTCATCACGCTCTTATAAACTGTTCCAAACGCACCTCGTCCCAGTTCCTCCATGGTAGTAACCCGTTCGGGTGGGACCTCCAGCAACATAAGCTCAGTTATGTCGGACTCACTGGATCAAAGTGCAAATTAAATATAAATAAAATTTCTCGTCATTAATCATGGGCTTGTGGTAATGCTTAAATCAGCGACGGCTTCCTAGTTGATACAATTTGGTCAAAAGTTACACTGCCTTGGCCTGTAAGAAAGGTCACTTGTGGCTTGGGAGTGAGTACGACACCAGACAGACATGCCCAGACACTTACATAAAAACAATATCGCCTATTTCCGCATGTATGTTTTTATCATGGAACAATTCAGCAACAAAGCATAATATTCTAAATTTGAGTGATATTAACATTTGAATGAAATACCGTTTATTGCTCTTTGCTCTGTTACGGTAGACAATTGTCCCCACCGCCACAGCAGAAAGAGCCAAGGAAACTCCCAACATTATCCAGGCAATCTTTGCAGTATCACTTTTAGCGATAGGGGAGCCTCCTGTCGCTGAGGGATACAAGCAATAATAAATGTTAAGAACTGTAACAGTTATACACATTGAAAAAGTAGCTTTAATGATTACGTAGCACCTGGAGCGCTTATAGAGATGGGAGCTCTTCTTTGAAAGGGGTAGCTTCGTTTATCAGAATTTGAAAGCCTGAAAAATGACATGGTATATGACAATGAGCCCTTGGCTGTTGAAGAATGGTTAAAAAAGTACGAAGAAGAAGTTGAAGAAAATAATAAGCTACCGCGAGAACTACGGGAAAGACTTGACGGGTCAGTTCAAGTAGATTCTTGGTGAGTGTCGGCAAATCATTTCGTACGATCCTGTGAGGAAGTAAGCTTATGTAAATCGACTAGTTGCTTGTTTTAAGGCATGATTGCTATGATGTATGGGGAGAATTGTTAGTATTCGCAGTAAAAAGCGGTATTTTTGGATGATTCTAGTTACCCTAAATGTACCGTAGGTATATTAAGTATTAGGAGCGGTGGGGTTAGGGCGCCCTGTTTAGGATTCGTTACCATTAACCTTGTTCTGGAATACAAATATATAGATTCGCGTGTAATCTTTCTTTTCCTTTTTCTTTTTATTGTTTTCAATAATTACAATTACAAGAATTATGGCAGACGTTATCAGTTAAGCCAAAACAGGGGCACCCAACGGATCTGTTCCTCACAATATCTGTTCTACAAACAAAATTTTGCTGCTGGAAACTGAGGTTTCGGCTGTTCTCCTGAGAAGATGAGTCTTAAATCTGCGGTCAAGAATTTATCAAATGAATCAAAAGTTCTTGCTGGAGGTATTTTATCCCTCTAATTTGCTAGAAATTTTTCTTAGGTGTATACCCAGCTGTGTATCAGGAGTAATCGGCTCCTCTCAGGTGGCTCCTCTTTGTGCGCGAATTGTGCGCGCCGAGTCGCGCGCTGATGATTTATTGGTAAGTACGTGGTGCAAGCATCATATAGTGGTTTGACGTTAGTTACTAGGAGCAATGTATATAGACCTACATAATCCTACATAGCCCTTCATAGCCATACATAGCCCTACACAGCCCTACACAGATAGCCATACATAGCCCTACATAGCCCGGCATCATAGCCATACATAGCCCTACATAGCGCTACATAACCCTACATAGCCCTACATAGCCATACATAGCCCTACACAGCCATACATAGCCCTACATAGCCCTAGGCAATGTATGGCTATGTAGGGCTATGTATGGTTATGTATGGCTATGTATGGCTATGTATGGCTATGTATGGCTATGTATGGCTATGTAGGGCTGTTTATGGCTGTGTATGGCTATGTGAGTGAGTGAGTGAGTGAGTGAGTGAAAACTTTATTTACCCACGGTAATTTTACCAAATAACTTTACATAAAGTATCTGTTCTATCTAAAAGCCGTGCATTATATTCAACTTACTTAAAGATATAGATATGTATCTAAAAACTAAACTAAGAAAGATCGTACACAATATTAAACCTAATGATAAAAAACTAAAATTATGAGGCTTGTGTAGATAGTGAATACGACCTGATCTTAGCCTTAAATTGTTTTAAAGAAGTCTCTTCCTTTAAACTGGAAGGAAGAGAATTCCAGAGCTTAGCGCCTGCAGAAGCAAAACTATTCCTAAAATAGTTTGTTCTTGCTTTTGGCACTATTAGATTCATTCCAGAAGAGCGAAGGTCATAACTGAGCCGGCTTGTATTAACGTCAAACATGTCAGACAAATAAGAGGGCCAGAGGCCATGATTTACTTTAAACATCATTAATGCCATATGATGTTGTCTCATTTCACCAATTGAGAGCCACCTAAGTTTATGCCGAATATCAGCTGAATGTTTCGAGTATGAAGCACCAGTCCTGTAATAACACGAGCGGCCATATTTTGCAACTTTTGAAGACTGTCTGCCAACGTTTCGCCAATACTATCCCAAACAATACAACAATAAGTAAAATAAGGCTCAACTATTGACCTGTATACGTTTATGAAGTGCTCCAAACCAACAAAAGGCCTAATCCTCTTAAGAATTCTAATGCCACACCCCACCTTTTGTCTGACACTTTGTAAATGATTTCTCCAAGTAAGAAATTGGTCGATAGTGAGGCCAAGACACTTTGTAGTTTCGATCTGTTGTAACGTTAAACCATTCACACTTAATGAAATATTTCCATCTAATGTTGCAATTCTCTGCCCAGAATGAACCTGTCAGTGTCCTTCTGTAGTTTAGAGCGTGGCAAAGGTAGACGCGCCAATATAACGAAAGCTTTTCCGTTCTTCCCAAAGACCCTGAGAGTAAAGGTATACACTAAATGAGTACCTGAGATATCAATAGTAGCAGATGCTTGGTCTTCAGATCTTTTTGGATCAGGAGTATAGGCCACACAAGTATAATTACCAGCATCATCAACTGTAATGCTAGCAATTGTCAGAACCTTAGGTACTTCAAGCCACTGAATTTTGCTGTTGTACGTTATGACAGCACTATCCCTTTTCCAGTAGTATCTCAACTCAAGAGACGGGTCTGCTGTTGCTTCGCATTTCAGATCAACACGTGTTCCCTCGTCAACTTGTTTATTTTCTGGTCTCACGGTAATTATAGTTCTCTCTGAAAGAAAGAATAATAAACACTTTATGAGTGGAGCCGAGAACAACAGAATCTCAATGTTTCCCTGGGCTCCGCCTCGGGAAACACTGAGATTCTCGGCAACAAAATTAACTGTTTCCCGAGGGACCGATGATTTGTTATATTGCTGGAAATTTCGAAGCTGGAATTCATTAAACCTCGCTGTAAAGGCGGTCGTCCGTCAACATTCGCGGGAAACAGTGCAATGTTATCCTCTGACGTTATAGGATTTGGCAATGTTGCCCGCTCAGAGATTGTGACGGGAAACAGTTTCATTGTTAGACGTCATGTGACCTCGAAGTAGCCAATGAGAACGCGCGCTGGTGGGAAAACATTTCCAGTTATATAGCAATCAGCAGTATTTACCAGATAAGTAGATAGCCATTATTTTTCGCTAGTTTTGATTGGCACCTGTAACTCCTTGGCTATTAGGAAGCTAAAGCAACGACGGCGGCAACGAGAACGCCAGAAAAGGAATACGTTAAATGATCAAAACAACTCTGCACGAGCAGCACACTTTTGTTCATTTCCATGCCTTCACCGCCTGGCGACAACAAGAAAGTTCCTAATCTCACGTTTTTATGGAGGACGTGAACTCTAAACAGCGGTTTCCTTTTCTCTTTTCTTGAAGACGAAGACGTCACGGTCTCAGCTCTGTCTCGCCACTGACATAGCACGATGTAGCTTTGCTCAACCTCGTCCAATGACTGTTAAAAATTTGCCAACGGCGATATTCAAGCTGACTTCACCTGTTGATATTAATGTGCCAGCAGAAGCGCACTGGTTCTTAAGAACAAGTCATTCGCACAAATCGAACATTGTGCCGGAGCGGGCAGTTGGCCGAGAGGCTTTGGCTTTTAATCCCAGTCCCCACTCCTGAATATTCACTTCCGTCTCAGTGGGTTCCAGTCCTCTTTAAAGTTTCCTACTTATTCACTTCCGAAACGGCCCGAATGTACTGTTCACACTGCAGTAAAGTGTGGCACAAAACCTATCCGATATGTGACATGTGACGTTCCACTTTTGAAATCAGCGCAGCGCAGCGCAGCTTCGTACCGTTACAGAAATCGTGCCCAAATCACCGTTCTTATGTATGAACAGAAATTTTCGTGGCAGCGGAAAAGCTCCCCGGTACAATGTGTTGATAGCCTAAAGCTCCCTTATTTAAGGAGGTTATATAAGGGTCATTTCGATACAAGTTTATTCATTCGAGGAGTAAATAGTTCCATGTAATTGGAGTAAGGAACGAAGATATTCACCCAAAATGTTTTTCTTGTTCCCTCGCAAACTATACTTGAAGTGAACAAAATTTTAGTGCAATTTCACTGCTTGAGTTTGTATCTGCGAAACGACTTGTATCGAAACGATACATCATGACATTCTCACCAAGAACTGTAGCTTTTCCTGTTGCCTCATCCTGGCCCAAGAAGTTCGCTGCAAAACACTTGTAATCACCCTCGTCTCTATTCTTGTCAACGTTGTCAATTATCAATGTACTGTATTCCCCATACTCTATTTTGTAAGGTGGCGATGACGTCAGTAGAGTGGTTCCTTTATACCATTTATATTGGTCTTTAGGTGGCCGTGGAGCTGCTTTTGGATTACACTTCAATCGCCCTTCAGTGCCTTTGAACAAGTAGAATGGACCAAATCCGGACTCCGCGAAAGATGTTTTTATGCCTGCAAAAAGGAAAATTCACGAGTGAGAAATTTTACCCTCAAGGAAAATACTGACAGACTCAAAACGTGAGAGCGGCGCAAAAGGCAGTGTTTATTGCATAAGTTTGCGCGGTGACTGATCTCAACCTTTTTTGTTTGCGGTTTGTTTGTTTGTTTTTCCTGCATCCAAGCAATGTTTAATATTCCTCATCTTATACAAAAGTTGCAATGTTAAGTTTTCCTTATATAACACGTCAGTATTAGAGTGGAAATTTTACTATTTTATGCAATTTTCCAAGTGCTTACCTAGAACTTTGACATACGTGGAAGACACGATCATTCCATGTTGATTCTCCGCCACACATTGATAAACGCCAATTTCATTCGGGTACCTCACATTCTTAAAAACCAACTTGTTGCCATTTAATATTACCTGTACACTGTGAAATACAACATTTTATTGTATAAACACCAATAAAATACCAAGTGAGCTTTCGCGCGAAAACATGATATCTTCACGTGTGAAAATAACATGTAATAAATCGCGCCTTTCACAGCAAAAACTAATAAAGTGAAAAAGGTTGGGTGTTTATGGCCGCTTGGAGATACGAAATTTCTCTTCTCGTGCTGAAAAATGTTTCACTTGTTCGCTGCGCTCACTCGCGAAATAATTCAACACTCGAAGAGAAATTTCGTATCTCCGCGCGGCAATGTAATATCCTCTATTTCCATGGTAAGTAACATACTGAAACTGTACCTGCGACTAGCAATAAAATAGGGGCAAGGGAGGAGAGGTTTATGTGGAACACTGTCAAGTTTAGCCTGCGAAAACAGCCGTTTCTCATCGCTCTTTGCCGCTAGGAACGTTTCGCGTGGAGGAACGTCTGCGACTCAGCGACAGAAATTCCATACTGATGGCGTAAATCAATGTTTACATAATTTATTTTTACATAAGCTCGGATTCCTTTGTTCTTTTCGGGGGGAATATATTACATAACACCCGAATCAACTGTCTGAAAAGCTGGGTGCGGCTTTGATTGTTTGAAGGGAAGAGCGGGGCTAAAGAAGAGCTAATTAAAATGCGAGGGGATTATGTATTAATATGCGAGGGGGATAAGTGACTTATTCCCCTTGCATATTAATACATAATCCCCTCGCATTTCAATTAGCTTTTCATAAAGAAAAAATTCACAAATGTTTATTGGAAATATTAAACACGACGCTATAATTACTAAAATTAAACTGAGCTGCGTTTCTTCTGAGACACATTCACGGATTTTCTTGGTTGTTGGTTCATCGATTTCCACAGCCAGAAAGACTGTTCGAAATTGAACAGCGTCTTTAAAATTCTACGGTTCCACGAAAGTGTCGCTGTCATGATAAGGTGTTCCGTTCTTTAACCAGTCATCCCAAACTCGTGTACCCCATGAAGACATGTAGTTGACCTCTTTGTGTTTTGTGGTATTCTTGCTTCATTCCTCGACTGAATTTCCTTGTCCGTTACAGTAGTGACCCCTCGCCCGGAATCTTTGTCTGTAAACATGCAGGTCGGTCGAAAGATCCTTGGTGCGAAAATTGAAATTGTCAACTGCTTGCTCGTTTTCTGTACCCGCAAATGAAGATTCAAATTGTTTTCCGAAAGCTCTTACAGTACCGCCACTGAAGCTGCTTTATTTTGAGTAATAAACGGTTCTTTTTCTGGCTCTGAATTTCTCGACACTGCTAGGCTCTTTAGGCTCTTTCTAGCATTCACTGCAAACAACTAATTTGAAATACGACTTTGAAAAACTAACATAATTAAAAAGCCGAGAAAGCTGTGAATGCCACCAGTGCCAGCATGGAGTGTTAAAAAATAAAAGAAAGATGAACAATAGAGGCATTTTTCGTCGTTGAATTTTGCATCCCTTGAGGAATCCTCGCCAATGTAACAATAAGCCGTTTATCGGCCTTCAGCTGGTGGTCATGTGATTTATTCCCCTCGTGTGTTGCCCTCGGGCAACGAACGAGGGGAATAAATCTCATAACCCCTCGCTTCGATAACCCTTACATATCCGGTAGTCATGGGGTTGCACAACCAAATTTGTTCAATTTTACGTTTCTCCTGGTCGATGTTACTAAAGCGTGGTGTTCATCTGCGAACGAGCTCCAGCAGAAAATCAAATGCTTCTTCTAGAGAAGAATATGTTCCACCAATTTTAACTGTTTTGTTAGAGATTCATCGCGTTTACATTTGACCCTCATGGCCTTTTGTATTGCCTTTTGTCTTTTGCCTGTCATTCGTAAACAATTTTACGTCATCAGAACGGAATTTCTGTCGCGAAGTCGCAGACGTTATTCCTCGCGAAACGTCCTCAGCGGCGAAAAGCGAGGAGAAACGGCCGTTTTCCCAGGATATATCAAGTTTAAATTGATTTTTCTGATGAGTGCAAATATACCCGTCATCATGCCTCCAGGGACTTTCTAGCTTCTTTCTTGGGATTGCTACCAACTTGGACAACAAAAACAACAACAGAGTAGAACCTTTCCCAATTTTGACCGTTGACCTCTAAATAATTTACTTTCACCTTGCACTTCATATTTTTTTCAACTTTTTAGTGCAGGAGAAAATATTTTTTATTCATGCCTTTATACAATGTATTATTATTTTACCTGTTTATATTCAAGTTATGAACGTCATACAGATAACTTCCAAATGCAACCTAGACTGAATTATAACTTTCCAGTGCAAAACGTTTAGCTCATCTAGGATGTTTAGCGTATTAAATTACATGATATTCTTATGCATTCAAATGATTCTTGAGAGCACTAAATTTTTCCCTGACTCTTCAAATGAAATCTAGAAAAAATCAAAAGTTAGCACTTATAACAATGTTTGAGAATAAAAGCGGGGTGTGGCCTTTACATTTACAAATTCACAAAGCGTGTACTAAGAGAAACAATTGTTACTAAACTTACGTTGATGTTGTGAGTTGTTGCCCATTCTTGTACCACTTAAAAGATGGCGAAGGGTCTGCAAATACATCGCATGTTAAGCTGCCATTGCCATTAACATCAATTTCAAGTTGTTGCGGAGGAGCCGCTAAAAACCTTGGAGCAACTGCAAAGAAAATTAATAAAATAATCAGTTGTATTGTACAGATTGAACCTTCAATTTGCCATGTTTAAAGCAGAAAAAAAAACTACAACAAAATGCATCTTTAAAGAACAGCCACAGAAATCACACGAACAGGGTATTCTACCAAAAAAGAATCTTCAATTCGATCGATCGTTCTTTGCGTCCTGCAGGACGCATACCATGAATTATATTTGTGTCTTTGGGGATTTTTATGCATCAGGGACGCAGGACGCAGAGGTAAAAAAATCACTGCTGTTAAGGTACCAATTTCGACATCCCTACAGTGTGCAGTCAACTCTCTCTTAACGGACACCTCTATAAGACGGTCACCTCTGTAAAACGGACACCTAGAGTTGGTCCCTGCTTTTCTTTACTCCCTTTATTTGACTCTCTATAAGACGGACTTCTCTCTAAGGCGGACACATAGTACTGGTCAAAAAGGTGTCCATCTTGGCGAGAGTTGACTGTATTACTAAGATCAGTGACAGTCCCTACAGATACCCATCCACCCCAGGAAAGGGCTGCCACACCACTGGGGTCTATGTCCCTTACTCTTTTGGAACAGTGGTGTGGGTTCTGGTTTTACGTCGCACTAATGGAAGAACCAGATAAGTGAAAGTGCTTTGTGAAGGAACATACCGTTTTTCATCCATATCCAAGAAGACTAGAAAAAATAACCGTTTGCAAGGTTATTACAAAGGCAGCACCTTCTTCTCAGTTAATTAAAGACCCTGAGCATTGGTCCAGCTGGGGGTTTCAACAAACGACCTACCACTCGGCAGACCAGCAAGTGAGTCTCCCAACTAACCTAACCAGGTGGTGATTTAGTGTGACAGTAAAATTGAAGTGGGTAAGGTGGCTCAACACAGTTTTGGCAGTTTGTGTGCATATGTCATTTGCCAAATCATGGCAAGAGAAAGGTTGCAGCTCACAAGCTGATACTTGGAAATTGAAAAATATACTGATGAAAGATTTTGATTGACAGATAAAATGTGACATTTGTGGAGTTGCCATGGCAACATGAACGATTGACTACAACCTTAAAATTTCACTTTTTCACAGTTTACATAAAATTCGCTCATTAGATTTTCCTATAAACTTGCACACAGCTTACTATAATTAATCATTACCATTTGAAACTTATTTGACCAAATTTTAACAGACAGGTTTTTAGATGATCAATAATATAATTGTACTGTAATTATTAAACGTGTCACAAAATATTATTCGTCTGTTCAACTTCCATTTTAAAGTTCTCATTATTCAAAATATGATAAAAGTAAAAATTCTGCCAAATATCACAAAATTTTAATGAGTAGATTTTGAGAAATCGTCTTCTGTGTACCATTGCCTTTTTCGCTGCCAATTTTGTTTCTCTAATTTAAAACACACGCCGTCGCGCAATTTACTGCTGACCGCCCTTAAAACTGTGTTCAGCCACCTTAATTTGATCATTAAAGGGATCGGTGCATGAGATTGACACAGCCTTAAGGCCACTTACCCTCAACATCCAGCCGTATATCATGGACCAAGGGGTTTCCACCACTTTGAGAATTCTCAGCCTCACAACGGTAATTGGTCTCATGCATGCTCTTTTTAACGGATATAATGTTAAGCAGTCTTCCTTGGAAAGCGGTAGCAATCTCAAAACTATCTTGTCCATGTACAAGGTTTCGCCAGTTTCCACTTTTGTCCTGCATTTTCCAAGTTATCATTGGCACAGGTCTGTAAGTAACAAGATAACGGGCAATGGCTTTGAACTATAAGATGTCAGCTGCATTTAGTTTTAATCAATCAATAAATTGCAAGGATTCCTGTGGCTATGAAATGCTTTAGTGTGTTACAGTCAGGTGTGTGTTCAAGGACTTTCAAGGACTATCAAGGTGCATGCGAACCCCTACAGTCACGTTCCCCGTTAATACGGACAATGAGGAGGCCATGGAAAATGTTCATATTAAGTGGGTTGAATTTAAATTTAGCCCCCCAAAGCTTTTGATGAGCAGGATCAATAAATAATTAACTTTACATTTTTATTGATTATATTTACACCATTACATGTAAGACAGTTAATTAGTGTAATAATTTCACTATGTGAGACCAGCTTGCAAGTAACTCTTGCTCCACATGAATATATCAGGAATTTAAAACACTTGTCTTAAAATACTTCTGTGATTTGAATTCCTGCAGAATACTTCACTTGCCTGTCTGGCACGTAAAGAACAGAATCCACTAGCCCGATCACACAATCTACTTGTTTCCGCGCTATTGGACAATTGGCTTTCTTTGCACAGAGAACAGCCAATCACAAAGCAAATCAATGCATAATAAACTGGTAGACAGGACATTTGAAATGGATAGAACGTACATGTACCATGAACGGCCGTTTAATGGCTGAGGTAAATGTTTGTATGTAATTTAAGGTGAACAACTTACCAGACACCCAATTTTAATGAATGGGTGTAAGAAGCAGTTGGCTGTTAGGGACGCTTTTGCATTGACAGCCTACAGTTCTAACCCCAAAACGTTGGATGCCTAAATGTTCTGAAAACAAACCCATCCAATGCTACTGCCATTGATATTGGCTTAAATGAACAGAATTCGACATTCTGAAAATTGTCCATCAATCCTAACTATTTATTTATCTATGTAGAATGTATGTATATATTTCCTTATCTTATTACTATTTATTTTGCCCAATTTGTAAAATATTGTACCCATGCAGGCACTCACCTTCCAACTGCAAGGCAATACAAAGTTTTATTTCTTCCCTCCACAGCTGTTTCTATGGCAGCAGGTATAAGCTTCCACGCAGGCGCTCTTGGTATCCCTGGATCTGTTTGACCTAAGACAAAATACACAGTACTCTGTAAAACATTTACCCTTGCTTTATGCTATAGTCTGCTAGTAAAAGATACATCTTATGTAACATCTCCCCTCCCTTTTCTTATTAAGACTTGTTCATCAGTAAAAAGTGGCATCAATTAGGCTGTGTATAAAAGTGGGACGGGGACAAGGGGACAGGGACATCGGGACGCGTGTGTGGGGACTTGGGACGTGGGGACGCGAGACGAGGGACTTGAGGACATCAACTATGGGACGCGGGGACGTGTGGGACGGGGAGGCGGGGACGTCAAATACAGGGACGCAGGGGAGGCGGGATGTGAATGATTATTGCAAAAGTCGCAGGTAAATGCGATATCAGTCACTTTCCTCGTGAATATGTTTTGGTGAAAGGAAACCCACCCTGCCCTCCTTAGGGTTCCTCCATGCCTGTTTACGAAGAGAAGACTCGGCGAAGACCTCCTGCATTGAAGAAAGTGAAACCGTTGTCCTAGTCTTCTTGCTGATGGAATATTGGAGCCAGTAGGGTAGGGTGGGTTGCGGTCGCCAAAAATTATGTAGAATAACAGCATTCGATTCCAAATAAATAAAAATTAAGTGGCATTAGCGAGCTTCGAATCCCGAAGTTCTAACTCCGAAATCCATCGCCTGTACCACTAAACCACGAGGGATTCAACTATTGTAGCAATATTTATTTTGTTCTACATTTTTAGTGGCAAACCTAACAGTAAATGCTTGCTAACAGTACTTAAAGGATGATTTCCACGACGCGTTTTTGGCTATGCACGTTAACGCAAGTAAATTTTAATCACGTAAATAAGATAGGCAAGATATAAATTGTCGAGATTAAATGTGAAGTTGCGCGAGATTCTACTTTTACGCTTACGTGCGGCCTTTCAGACATTGCCTCTATTTTATGTGCGAACGTAAATTTTACGCACGTAGGCATGGAAAAATTACGCGACAGTGGAAATCAACCCTAAACCTGATCACGATAGTCAGTGGGCTTTTAATACTTCTATTGTAAAGAAATATTTTGTCTAAACATCATAAGGTGTCCAATGTGGTTTTGGAAGATGGAATCTAATGTTGACCATAAATAACACATTTTCACGAAGAAAGAGATATCGCACTTACCTCCGACTTTTGCAATAATCATTAACATCCCGGGTTCCCTGCGTCCTAGTTTTTGACGTCCCCGCGTCCCCACGTCCCCGCGTCCCATACTTGACGTCCCCAAGTCCCTCGTCTCGCGTCCCCAAGTCCCAAGTCCCCACACACGCGTCCCGATGTCCCCGTCCCCTTGTCCCCGTCCCACTTTTATACACAGCCCCCACAAACAATTCTTCCAGCAACAAAAGCCTTTTTTTTAAAAAATAAATTAAGAAACATTATGAGAACCTCAATTCTTGGATTTCACATGATGTCACCAAAATTCACAATTCGACTCTGATGAGTGTTTAATTCTATGAGGTATTAAATACAGCAGATCAACACCTTCATTTATACAAATTTTCAGTTTTAAAGCCGGTTCTTTGTTTAATTTGTGATAGAGGATGCTTGAATTTCCAAGCTTTTGAGTGACATGGCACTTAGGAAGATGGCTACCGGGAAAGCTCTCATGTACTGTAGGCTAAAAACATACCGATTAATTTTTTAGAGATTTTCCCATCTAAATATTCCTTGTCTCAAAATAAGTATGACTTTTTAATGTGTTTGAGTTCCTCAAGCAATGAATTCATGCTTTTGTAGAACACCATGCACACTAATTTTTGTGCCCCTCAAAGGGACACCCAAAAATCAAAATTTAATGATGTCTATCTTCTGTTCACACACTCTAATTTTTGCTCCGGAATGCTGGAAATGCACTCTAAGAGGCCCAGATTTCAAAATTTTTCCAGGGGGCATGCCCCTGCACAGACCCTCTCTATAGGAACTCACACTTTCAATTCAATGCATGCAAGTCGCAGGGTACGTTTTTTCCAGTTCTCTGCCTACTCCAAAGCTTTTGCCACCTATTAAAAACCTTGTTAAAAACCCTGTAGAAAGATTTACAATTTGGAGAAAACATTTTTCCGAGTACATGTCACATATGAAATATTGCATAGACCTGATTCTTGGTGAGGCTTTTTTCATACATGTAAATTATCTTCTTTCATCTCCAAGATTCTGGATGTTCTGTATTCAATAGTTTCAATTTTTTTTGATAGCATGACTGTAGTGAAAACAGAGAAAAGCCTAATCAATATTATATGGACACCAGGTCAAAAGGACACTCCTAAAATGTTACATGTAATATAGATACATGTATTTAATGGGATGGAAGTTCCTCTTTCAATCACTGACATTTCCTTCTGTGATAAAAAAAAAAAACAAAGAATTTACCTGCAGTTTTCTTCTTTAACTTCAAAATACCAGAATATTCAAATCTGTTTGCTCCAGTCATAAAACATCTGATTCCTTGGCTGTCATACTCTGCAAAATCGTCAATGTCTTGCTGGGTAACATACATGATTAATAGTTGCCCTGTCTGTGATATGGCTCGTCGATCATTTCTTTTGAACCGTATGTGCATAGCATTGATTTTCCCCTGCCATGAGTAGCTAACACCATAACTGGAAGAGTGCTGTGGACAATTATAACTAAACTCTTCCCCAAGATCTACAAGCACCTCCTGTTCATTTTGATTGCTGAATGTCCCTACAACTGTACCAGGAAACAAGAAAAATATTATAAACTAGCAACCTCGTACCCAGGGCTTTTCCCCACCCATTTTTCAAGGGAAAAGCCCTGGGGAGAGGTTGATAAACTAGTAATATCCTATTAAAGGCTACGGAGTGTGGGAGACGCAATCAAATGTCAAAACACTTTTGCACCAGTGTTGTACTTTGCGTAAGTTTGACATGACAGATGGTCAAAACACGTGATCAGATTTCAAGTGATAGAAAGTCCAGAAGAAAAATGGGGGACTACTCGTAGTCTAAAATGCATGATCAAATTATGTTCTGTGCATTCCAGTCATTCTTAGTGGAAATCCAAACGAATGCTGCATACATACATGTGATGCATGCATAAATAAAAAATAACAACCTGGCCCCGGTTGTTCAAACGTTGGATAGCGCTATCCAGCGGATAAATCACTATCCAGCGGATGTAACGCAATTGTTTCCTGTAATACGTACGTATCCGCTTTTGAACAACCTGGGCCTGGAGATTATGATTGCAGGCTCCTCTTCTCACCCCTAATTAGTCAGGGTTGCACTTACATGTAGTAGAATTAAGCACATTTGTGATTGAACCCTGGATTTCACAGGTTCAGAGCACCTGGCTCCTTTCAGTTTTCCTTAGAGCACAGCCATGAGTTTTTGACTCTTGCGATGTGGAGGACTTCTTTTGGGGTTATAATAAAGCTGGGACTCTTGACTTTTTACTTGCCTTTTACAGAGCTAAAAAAAGTCAAATCCGGTAGTCTGCTGGGGAAAAGAGATATTCTTGCTGGGCAAGTAACTTTTAAAGCTGACTTAACTGAAGGTTTCAGCCAAGTCATCCTCCAACATAATCATAATTATACTTTAGACAAACAAGAAATGGCCTTGGACAAGCCAAATGTGAGGGCTGCTTGCCCAAAGGACAAGCTGGAATTCATTTTTTTTTTAAGCTCTGCATCAAAAGCACAGCCTTGGGCTTTATCGTTTTTTTTTTTTGTTTAGATCTGTTCAACTGCTTATGCCAATGATACTGAAATGACTCCTTACCCGTAACAGCAACCTGTATCTTCCTGCTGAATGTCTCGATTCCAGTAACATTGTCCCTGACAAAACACTGGTAATTTCCACTCTGTGCACTCTCAAGGTAACTTCCGTATAAGGTTCCATCAACACCAATGGCGAACTTACCACCCGTCGTAATTGCTGTGCCATTGTGCTTCCAGGTCCATTGCAAGTTACTCCCAACAGCATCACATGGTAATTTCAAGGCATTTTGTCTACTAAACTTAACATCCTCGGGAGCAAGTAAATCCTTGGTTGGAAAGTTAACAATTCTTGGCAGGTCTGCCACCCCGACCTGTTGACCTGCAATTTAGACAACGAGAATGCAGTTATCTGTGACTTTTAAGCCCATTTGTAGGCCCAGCAACATGTACCCATAAGGAGGCGTGTGTTACCAAGGGATTAACAGACCTTGAACTCTTGATCTGGAGGTCTGGGTTTCAAGCCTTGCCCATCGAGTTTCTTGCTGTAGCTGCATGGTGCTGTTTCTGTCGTGTTCCCAATAAATTTTCTGCATAACATGTGTATGGCTTCAATTTGCTCCATAATATGTGTATGGTCCCTCGTCTCGATAAATATTTCTTGTCAACATTCTCAATTATAAATGTACTGTATTCCCCATACTCTATTCTGTAGGGTTGTCAGTAGAGTGGTTCTTTTATACCATTTATATTGGTCTTTACTTGGCTATAGACCTGCTTTGGTTAAGTATTCCTCATCTTATATGAAAGTTCAGTACCCAAAAGGACACCCTCTAGACTCCCGCTAGAGCCTGCTTAATGGAGGTGTCCACTAAATACAAGATTGTTCTACGAAAAATATAGGAAGCAATATAGACTATAATGCATAGGCTCGCTGAGGCATAGAATTCACCGTCAAGCCCATATCTCACGAGTGAACACATATCGATTTGAATGCAAGTGGTTAAATTCCATGAATTTATATCAATTATGCAAACTAATATTATGTCAACTAATATTATGTTCGCCCCCCTCCCCCTTTTTCCTTAGTACCTTTATAAACCCGAGCAAACATGCAATGGATGTTAGGCGATGACTATGGACTTCAACGGCAGGTGTCTTCATAGTAACACAAGTAGTTCACTCATTGCCTGATATTAACACATATAAAATTATGGTATTTTTACATATGATTGGTGACAGTTTTTCTTAGTGGCAGAAATCCCTCTAAAAACTGTAGTTCATATAACAAAAGATAATATATATATATATATATATATATTTTTTTTTTTTTCGCAAGACAAAATAAAGAGATCACGGGTTATGCTTTCTTCAATAGGGGGAAAAATACATAATAATGTCAATATTGGGAACAACAAAGAAACTCTGAAGACACTCTGAGAAAACTGGGTTTGCGGAGAGATGTACTGTTGCTGCATGCCAACTCATGTAAAGTTGACAATCCCTTTCTTATCATTTTAACCATAGATAAAATCTTGTTAACACAAGGATTGTATGCGCTGGTTGAATGAGGGGTGGGAAGGGCATAACTTTGTTTTGATTCGATGACATCGTTGTATTGTGCAAACAGGTTTCGTACAGATTTTTGGATCCAAAATTCAAGACTTTTTCCAAAACAACAAATACCAAAAATGTACACGATGGTTGTCATTAACGGTGCACAGCCCTACAAAGGGCAGCCATGTCCTGCCATTCGTTCGTCACTGTCAAAATCTGGTCATTTCTGACAACTGTAATACCATAAATTTCGCACCCTGTTGTAGTTGGCAGGTTTCACAAAATATTACGGTAAATTCATGACTTGCATAATTACCGTTCGTCATTGTTGTAAGACAGATGACTGAAAGACAGAGAATAATCTTCCACATTCTGAAGAATCAAATACTCCTGCAACAAACACAAACAAAAAAAAACGATGTTTCATTCACTATAGCGGAGCCTCCATTGCTATAGAAAATGGAAACCTATCGATGCAAGAAAATTTGGTTATGACGTCAGCGTACGCCCGCCCGTACGCCCCTGCGGACTGGCAGGGAGGGGCTAAGCAGACTCTACAAGGGAGGGGAAGGAGAACCTAAGACATGCAGCTTACGTTTGTCTTGGCGAAACGTTAACCAGGGGTGTTTACAAAACGACGACCTAGAAAACGAAGACCTACGACCTCGAAAACGACGACCTAGAAAACAACGACCTAGAAAACGACGACCTAGAAAACGACGACCTAGAAAACGACGACCTAGAAAATAACGATCTAGAAAACGACGACCTAGAAAACGACGACCTGGAAAACGACGACCTAGAAAACTACGACCTAGAAAACGACGACAGGGATGGGGTAGCTCGAAGGATTTAAGGGGTTAGAGGGGTGCAGAAGGCGGGAAATAAGAGGACGATAGGAGGGAATTATGAAGGGGTGAGAGGTGGGCGAAGAAGGAAAATTACAGAAAAATAGTAAATATTATTTGTACCGGCTAAGGGTATGAAGCCAAGGAATAAAACGGTGGAAATGGAAATGCAAGGTACGCGAGGTCTCCCCTCTGTTTCGTTTATCAAACAAGCGTTGCCTGTTTGTTATTGGATAGATTTATTTGATGACAAGAATTGAATTAGCTTATTGTGTTTCAAACCAGTTTTTCAGTAGAATCGAAGTGAGAAAGAAAATAATTTACATTCTGTCTATAAATCCACTTACCTGAAGAATCTGTTAAAAGAATTTGCTAATCTGTAAAGTGCGATTGTTGTAACGACCCGCCACAGAAGTAAGTTAACATTGAAGTTTTCTGAATTTAGATACGAGATTGAGACGATTTGTGTTTGTTCTGATTGCGAATTATAAACGTATTTCTTTTAGATCGAATAATTATTAAGAGGCTGTCCGCGTAAGAACCGATAAGGCAAATTTCGGTCCATCACGGATTGCCCTGATTTTTTCAGCGGAAGATAACTATCCTATCACATGAAGAAATATCACATTTATTTGGACCAACTCAAGCTTTTCTCTATTTTAGAGGAAGATTTTCTAGGTCACCTAAAAAACTAGCCAGTTTGCTGTCGGAAGTGGTGCGATTTTGGTGAAACTTTAGGGCTCTGTCAAACCTATTTTACATAGCCGAATAAACTGATTATTTTACACACAAAAGTTTTAACTCTGATTAATAGTTTCAAGGTTTAATGGTTGCATTCTGTGGAAAGTTGGCTGAGATATGATTATTTTAAAATGACCTCTAATTTGCTCAGCAGGAAAAGTAATTTGCATAACTAGAGCTGAACGGTAATTTCGCAAAAGTGGCACCTGACCCAGACTCAAGTCTATGATAAATCAGAAGTACTAAGACCAGTCTACTTCTTAATGCAATAAAATTTGTGGGCACTCTTCTCTGCGCGCTGTACAAAGTTCCGTTAATGTTACAAAATTCGCCATTTTGACAGCAAAGCTGGAATTGTAACGGTCCGCATTTGATCGACTAATTTCCACAGTTTTAACGTTTCTAGGTATCACTAAATGTCATTAGACCTTTTAAATGTTGGACGTTTGAAAACATGTGGAGAAAACTTAGTAATCGCTTTTCCTTGGGTCTTTTTCTTGTCGACGATGAACGTGACTTCATTCTTCGAATGCAAATTACCTTGGAGGGTTGTTTCAACAAATTGACAGGAAATATAATCCTTACATTTCACATTTCTAAGGGGAAAAAAAACTCTCCTTTCCACAGAAAAACACAAAACATGCCTTAAAATCCCCTTAAGCTCTGTTTTTTTTTTTTAACGAGGAAGAAGCAGCTGAATAATATATCATGATATATGTTTGCGTGGCTTAAAATAATTCAATTATACTATTGTCGCCTGTCACGCATTCCTAAATAGGGGTGGTCGATTAGAAAACAATAGCGTTGTGTCGATCAATTCTATAATATTATCATCTTTTTTAAAATGATAGTTATTGATAATAATAAAAAATAAGAGTTCACTTGCAAGGTAAGTCCTCTTGTCAGCACACGAAAATTTTTGGGCACTCCTTTTTGTGTGCCTTTAAAAATAGCGTTAACGTCGTTTATTATAATATTTGCTCATCAGGAGAAGGTAGATCTTTGTACATGGCACTATGATAAAAAAAAAAATGCCCCACACTTTTTCTATCTTAAATTAGCAGTAAATTTCAGTTTCATGGAAAGATCTTTAAAGCGTTTATCGGTAGCAGAATGAAACGGGAAAAATAGTTCCTTTTTTCAGTGAATAAACGCAAAAGGGAGTATCTTTTTAGTTTTTGTTAGGGTATAACATCCGAATTCCAACCATGATCTTGTTTTGGTTTCAATCTGATTGAATTATAATGCAACAGGTGCCAGTTTCAAATATCATTATGTCGATAAAATCGCCGAAGAGATCAATTGTCAAAAATGGCTTTTTCGGCTATTTCATCAAGCAGTTCTTCCGCGAGATCGTAGACAGAGTGAGGTTCCAGTAGGGGTGTGGAGGAAAATGTGTTGGTCACAGAGGATGGATGATATTACGTCGCACTTAGCTAGCTGGCACTTGTCTAAGTGTAGCAAGTGTAGCAAAGACAATGAAAATGAACTCATTTTAGCGAGAGTACGTATTCGAGGCTTGGTGGGTATTCGGAACTGAAATGACAATCTGCCCAAGGCACAGAAACTAAATAGCCTGTGTACAGACCCCCCTCCCCTCAGGAAAAATCGGAGAAGGGGCCCCTTCTCCGAGGAGGGGTTGGGGGCGGCGGGGGGGTAGTGTGTACACAGGCTAACACTAAAATGACAATCTGCGCAAGGCACAGACACCTGCTTGGCAGGTTTTTGCGGACGCAAAGGTCTTGTTAGGCTCGATTATAAGCCGCTGTTCTGGAAAATGAAACCCAACGGACGGGGAGACGGCGGAAATCGAGCCTAAGGTCTTGTCAATACCCCGGTCACACTCTGGATCATACTGGCAAAGTAACTTCTGTGGCAGGAAGACATGTCGTGAATTTCCAGATAGCCAGCGAAATAAGTCAAAGTTTTGTTCCATCACGTAAGTATCATTCTTTTTTCTTCTTCATGCAAAAAATTTTCTTAACGTACAGAGATATTCTAATTTCTGTATTTAACATTTTATCTTGCGATGTTTTCTGAAGTTCGTTTCCACTTTATTCGAGCTTGCAAGATAGTTTTTGTTATGTCTATTTTTTTGACAGCCGTGTATCTTGCCCTAATCAATTCTTACTTTTAAAATACTATACATACCGGTTAATCCGTGTGTTGTAAAAGATAGTTTTCTGATGATTGTTTGAAGAGCACTATAAATGGGAAAAAAAGAACTTTCTACACGG